CCCAAAAAACATTGAAAATCCAGGTCATCAGCCCTGAAAGATGGAGAACTAGTGAAGTGACAGTGTCACAATAATTAAAAGAATGAGAGCAAGTAATTGAGAGGGGAAAGATTTTCAGTCAGACTTTAAAATGTTTTTGTCAACACCTACTTCAATTTATTTATGTTTTCAAGGGGGGAAAAAGCCTTTACTAACACTCTTTCAATTAATGTGCAAGTATTAATCCGAGACAATAAATCCGAGACCATCAAAAAGGACTCAGGAGGACCCCACACACAACCGGGATGATCTTACTCAACATTCCTGATAATAAGACAAGAAGCAAACAAAATCCTTCAATTAAAAAAAAAAAAAAAGCAAACAACCCTTCTAACACTTTTCAAGCCTTCTTCATATCTCATACAACAGGAAACAGCACAAGCCTATTTTTAATAAAAGTTCCTTATAAAGGACTTTTAACCACTGAAAGTAATGTTTAATACCCTAAGAACATAAGGGTCCACAGCCCTTCCAAACTATTTATTATCTATATCCATCTTATTCAGATCCAGTAAGATCCACGTTTAATCTCCAAAGAAATCTGCAGCAGCACCAATATTGCTAGTCCATCAGACAAAGCACAGTTACACAAAATGGGAGCAGGGTACCAAACATATCTGCCCCTGCCGCAATGGAGCATCTCAAACTAATAGATCTATAGGAGTAATGACTTCGTTTTGTCCTCCTGGAAGCTTTTTAACATCTACCATCTCATGACCGTCTTTTCAAAGTCTGCAAAGTAACAGGATGCAAGTTGGCCAAAACACATTTTCAAAATAACCACTTTCATCTGAACGCTTCACAAAGAACGAAAGCCACACAGATCAGTTTCACTTTCCCAAACAGGAAGTAATACAGAGAGGAAAATGAAACCATACCTGTTTTCCCTCTAGAACAGGTAATATTAAGATGGAGGAAAAATAAAGGAAATAGAAGGGCAAAATAAGGTGCTCCATCATGTAGGAGAAAGCCTCCTGTCACGTACAGAAAATTTGGGATGGAGCTGACCAAGTCATCAGCAGAATTCAGCTGACTGCAAGCGTAGCACCAATAGAACCTGGTCATCAGTGGGCGGGATAGAACTTGAGACCTCTGAAGCTTAGTGTATGAGCCTCAATTGCATAAACTAAAAGCCATATGGTTCTTACCCGAGACTGTAGCAGACTCAATCTCTAGCTCAGTGGCTCTCAAACTTTTGTACTGGTGACCCCTTTCACATACCAAGCCTCCGAGTGCGAAGCTCTCCTTATACATTAAAAACACTTTTTAATATATTTAACACCATTATAAATGCTGGAGGCAAAGTGGGGTTTGGGATGGAGGTTGCCAGCTCATGACCCCCCCATGTAATAACCCTGCAATCCCCTGAGGGGTCCCGACCCCCAGTTTGAGAACTCCTGCTCTAGCTGGGGTAGGTGCCACTAGAAGGGGACACAGCACCACACCAAGCAAGCATGGGTCACACAAACAGCTGGACAGATGAACCCAGCTGGTATAAAAAAAAAATTCATTTGGTGCCACCCTCATGTTGCTTTGATTTCAAAACCATGAGCTGGTATTAGTCATATCTGGGACAGGCCAACTAGAGTTAAAGATAAACAGAAGCTCTCTCTTTTGATCTGAGCTCTTAAGACCAGTTCTCTCGATTGGCTACAATTCTTCCTGGACTCAAAACAGACCAGCACATATTGACAGCTGCAACCTCTGCACACAGGAGTATGACTTCCTGAATTAGTACTTCTTGGGTCAGCCACCATTTTCAATTTGCTCCCAAGTCTGCCATTCAGCCATCTTGTGTTATCAGAACCACTGGCATCAAATAAAAGTAAAGAAAGAGCTAGCCCATCACCTACCACCCTCCGAAGAGTGGAGAGATCAATTTGCCATCAGCACCTGTTATTAAGCAACACAACACTATCAATTCTTCATCTGGGTGTTGGCGCTGCTGCAGTTTTTCCTCACAAGCAGGTGAGCACACGAACTGCATAAGCAACCACCCAGAGCTCCACAGAGGCGAGCCCAACAGCCCTCCTAAACCACGAGATGCACTTTGCATCTCATGAAGGCCAAACCAAGCCCAGAAGGCATCTGTCTGTTTTGGCAGTGTCCCAAGTGGGTGGAACTTGGGAGTGTAGCAGGTGACAGAACTTATTTTCCTCTGAGTTGGGCACTTGCAAATGTCTATATGGGAGAATCCTCCTAGAAAAACTGAGATGCAGCAGCACATGGCAAATGCTGCCATCTCCTCTGGAGCGGTGGGGAGGCACAGCCCCCACCCCCCCGCCCCCAGGGCATGCTGGGCACTGCAACAGGTGTCAGAGGAGCAGCCGTGTTCGTCTGTATTCGCAAAAAGAACAGGAGGACTGGTGGCACCTTAGAGACGAACCCGTTTATGTGAGCATGAGCTTTCGTGAGCTACAGCTCACTTCATCGGATGCCGTAGCTCACAAAAGCTTATACTCAAATAAATGGGTTAGTCTCTAAGGTGCCACAAGTCCTCCTTTTCTTTTTGGGCACTGCGGTCTCCCTGCGGGGAGGGGAGGAGGCGGCACAGCCCCCCCAGGGCACGCTGGGCGCTGCGGTCTCCCTGCGGGGGGAGGGGGGAAGGAGGCACAGCCCCCCCACCAGGGCACGCTGGGCGCTGCGGTCTCCCTGCGGGGGGGGGGAGGAGGCAGCACAGCCCCCCCCCAGGGCACGCTGGGCGCTGCGGTCTCCCTGCGGGGGGGGGGAGGGCACAGCCCCCCCCCCCCAGGGCACGCTGGGCGCTGCGGTCTCCCTGCGGGGGGGGGGGAGGAGGCACAGCGCCCCCCCCAGGGCACGCTGGGCGCTGCGGTCTCCCTGCAGGGGGAGGAGGCACAGCCCCCCCCCAGGGCACGCTGGGCGCTGCGGTCTCCCTGCGGGGGGGGGGGGAGGAGGCACAGCGCCCCCCCCAGGGCACGCTGGGCGCTGCGGTCTCCCTGCGGGGGGGGGGGGAGGAGGCACAGCGCCCCCCCCAGGGCACGCTGGGCGCTGCGGTCTCCCTGCGGGGGGGGAGAAGGAGGCACAGCCCCCCCCCCAGGGCACACTGGGCGCTGCGGTCTCCCTGAGGGGGGGAGGCACAGCGCCCCCCCAGGGCACGCTGGGCGCTGCGGTCTCCCTGCGGGGGGGGGGAGGCACAGCGCCCCCCCCCAGGGCACGCTGGGCGCTGCGGTCTCCCTGCGGGGGGGGGGGGAGGAGGCACAGCGCCCCCCCCCAGGGCACGCTGGGCGCTGCGGTCTCCCTGCGGGGGGGGAGGGGGAGGCACAGCGCCCCCCAGGGCACGCTGGGCGCTGCGGTCTCCCAGCGGGGGGGGAGGGGAGGCACAGCCCCCCCCCCAGGGCACGCTGGGCGCTGCGGTCTCCCTGCGGGGGGGGGGGGGGGCCCAGCCCCCCCCCAGGGCACGCTGGGCGCTGCGGTCTCCCTGCGGGGGGGGGAGGAGGCGGCACAGCCCCCCCCAGGGCACGCTGGGCGCTGCGGTCTCCCTGCGGGGGGAGGGGGAGGAGGCGGCACAGCCCCCCCCCAGGGCACGCTGGGCGCTGCGGTCTCCCTGCGGGTGGGGGAGGAGGCGCACAGCCCCCCCCCCAGGGCACGCTGGGCGCTGCGGTCTCCCTGCGGGGGGGGGAGGAGGCACAGCCCCCCCCCCAGGGCACGCTGGGCGCTGCGGTCTCCCTGCGGGGGGGGGGGGAGGAGGCACAGCCCCCCCCAGGGCACGCTGGGCGCTGCGGTCTCCCTGCGGGGGGGGGGAGGAGGCACAGCCCCCCCCCAGGGCACGCTGGGCGCTGCGGTCTCCCTGCGGGGGGGGGAGGAGGCACAGCCCCCCCCCCGGGCACGCTGGGCGCTGCGGTCTGCCTGCGGGGGGGAGGAGGCGGCACAGCCCCCCCCAGGGCACGCTGGGCGCTGCGGTCTCCCTGCGGGGGGGGGGAGGCGGCACAGCCCCCCCCAGGGCACGCTGGGCGCTGCGGTCTGCCTGCGGGGGGGGGAGGAGGCGGCACAGCCCCCCCCCAGGGCACGCTGGGCGCTGCGGTCTCCCTGCGGGGGGGGGGGGAGGAGGCACAGCCCCCCCCCAGGGCACGCTGGGCGCTGCGGTCTCCCTGCGGGGGAGGGGGGAGGAGGCACAGCCCCCCCCAGGGCACGCTGGGCGCTGCGGTCTCCCTGCGGGGGAGGGGGGAGGAGGCCAGCCCCCCCCCAGGGCACGCTGGGCGCTGCGGTCTCCCTGCGGGGGGGAGGGGACGCCCCCCCCCAGGGCACGCTGGGCGCTGCGGTCTCCTGCGGGGGGGGAGGCCGCCCCCCCAGGGCAGCTGGGCGCTGCGGTCTCCTGCGGGGGGGGGGGGAGGAGGCGGCAAGCCCCCCCAGGGCACGCTGGGCGCTGCTCTCCCAGCGGGGGGAGGAGGGGACAGCCCCCCAGGGCACGCTGGGCGCTGCGGTCTCCTGCGGGGGGAGGAGGCGGCACAGCCCCCCCCCAGGGCACGCTGGGCGCTGCGGTCTCCCTGCGGGGGAGGGGGGGAGGGGCACAGCCCCCCCAGGGCACGCTGGGCGCTGCGGTCTCCCTGCGGGGGGGGGGGGAGGAGGCACAGCCCCCCCCCAGGGCACGCTGGGCGCTGCGGTCTCCCTGCGGGGGGGGGAGGAGGCACAGCCCCCCCCCCAGGGCACGCTGGGCGCTGCGGTCTCCCTGCGGGGGGGGAGGAGGCACAGCCCCCCCCCAGGGCACGCTGGGCGCTGCGGTCTCCCTGCGGGGGGGGGGAGGAGGCACAGCCCCCCCCCCAGGGCACGCTGGGCGCTGCGGTCTCCCTGCGGGGGGGAGGAGGCGGCACAGCCCCCCCCCCAGGGCACGCTGGGCGCTGCGGTCTCCCTGCGGGTGTCACCCCCCGCCGAGAGGGGGCGGGCCAGGACGCTTGTTCACACCCGCTGCCGCGCCCCAGAGCCCCGGTCCTGCCCGCCGGTACCTGCAGTCTCGGGCGCTCTCTCTCCCGGCGGCCGCCGGCTTAAAATGGCGGCCGGGGGGCCCCCCGGGAGAGCCCTGGGCGGAGGAGCCAGCGCCGAGGTGCCGGGTCATGGCTCCGGCTGCACGAAGGCCGCCGCCCAGGCGCGGGAGGAAACCAGGGCCGCGCCCGCCGCCTTCCCCACAGCCCGGCCCGGCCCTCCAACGCCAGCCGCGAGCGACACCGCCCGTCTTGCGTGCAGACCTCTGATTGGCTGCGTAGACGAGGCGCGAACTCTCCAATTGGCTCCCACAATGCATGGGGGGGGGTCGGGCAAGAGACCGAGCGTCCCTCTGATTGGCTGCTAGGCTGTAAGGGCGGGGGAGCGGCGTTGAGCGAGAGCCTCCCCCCCCCGGCTCCGCCTCGCGACGGATAGAGGTGGGGGGGAAAGGGGGTGGGAAGGTGCCTGGCGGCCCCGCCTCGTGCTGCCTCTCCCTCTCCCATTGGTCCGTGCCCGGCGCGCGAGGGGGAGGGCGGGAAAGCTTCGCGCTGGTGTTCTTATTGCGCGCGCCAAGCGTCGTCTGCGGGTCACAAAGCGGTTGGGGCGGCGGGGCGGGTGGCAGGCTCCGTCCTTGTGTGAGGGGAGTATGACCCCATACAGACACCCCACCCCGTGAGCTCAGTCACTGCTTGGGCCCTGCCTGACAGCCCAGCCTACTGCCCTTTCCAGCGGGGGGCCGGTCAGCAACCCCCTGCCTGGTGCTGAGGGGCCAGTGCCCCATTCCCCCAGGCTGGCCCTACCCCTGAGCAGCCTCCTCCTCTCTGTCTCTCCCCCCAGTCCATTGCCGCAAGCCGATCCCCACCCTTGATGTAGGGCCACAAGCACATTTAAACAGAGCAAGACCCGTGCTTCCAGCTGTTGTAGGGGCACAGTGTAGTGGGGTCCCCTCGTGCAAACAAAGCCCCTCAGAGCAACAGTCTTCAACCCTGGAGAGCACTGACCTAGTGTAAATAGAGGCAGAGGTGGCCAGCCAGCAGCACAAAACCCATATGGGCCTGTTTAAGGTACTTGTATGGTTCCCGTAACCATAGTATTCATGTCTCGTTAACACATCCTCACAGGGTCACAACACCCCTCTGAGGCAGAGAAGTGCTGTTATACCTGTTTCACAGTTGGAAAATGGAATAAATGACTTGGCCAAGGTCACACAGCAAGCCTCTGACAAAGCAGGACTCAAACCCATCTCTCCGAAATCCTAGAGGAGCATCCAACCACTTGACCAAGCTTTCCTCCCAGGTTACCCCTGCCTGGAGCAAACAGTGCCTTTCTAGGCAAGGGGTTTATATTAGTCTGATTCACCGAGTAGGTAACACGAATGGTTGCCTGTGCGGCATAGACAAAAACCTCAAGCCTTAGCCAAAGGCTCAGAGAAATCAATAGCATAACCAGCAACCTCTAGCACCAGCTGTTAGGATATAGATATTCAGGCCTGTCTGTAAAGGCCTATACTCTAAGAATTTAGGTGTATTCTTAGCACTTGGCTAGTTATAGAGGTATAAAAGCAAGAATCAAAATCACTGTCGGTGTAAGAGCCTTCTCTTACTGTGACAGTCTGAGGCCCTGTTCTTAGGCTAAGGCCTTTGGCTAAGCAGCAGAGGCAGCCGTAAGCTGGGAAGCGACTGGTCAGATCCTCACATTCCAACCGAGTCACATTGAAAGAAGGTGCTAGTGGGCTGTTAGGATACAGTCCTGTCCTGATAGTGCCTATCGCCTCCAGAGAAAGGGAAGTGCCTAGAAGATGTAAAAGGAAATTTAGTTTGATAGCATCCTGTCTGGCAAGAACTCACTTATCAATAGCTGGGATGTGAAATCCTCATTTCTTTAAAAGAAAAGGAGGACTTGTGGCACCTTAGAGACTAACCAATTTATTTGAGCATAAGCTTTTGTGAGCTACAGCTCACTTCATCGGATGCAGAAAGTGGAAAATGCAGTGAGGATGTTTTATACACACAGACCATGAAAAAATGGGTGTTTATCACTTCAAAAGGTTTTCTCTCCCCCCACCCCACTCTCCTGCTGGTAATAGCTTATCTAAAGTGATCACTCTCCTTACAATGTGTATGATAATCAAGGTGGGCCATTTCCAGCACCCATTGATAAATGATAAACACCCATTTTTTCATGGTCTGTGTGTATAAAACATCCTCACTGCATTTTCCACTTTATGCATCCGATGAAGTGAGCTGTCGCTCACAAAAGCTTATGCTCAAATAAATTGGTTAGTCCCTAAGGTGCCACAAGTCCTCCTTTTCTTTTTGCGAATACAGACTAACACGGCTGCTACATTGAATATAAAGACTAGAGTGCAAAAGAGGTTATGATTTCCCTCCTCAGAACAGTGCCATAGAAAGGAAACTCGGGAAAGTTACACTTTATATTGAAATTATTTTTTCATGCAGCATTTTGTCTAAAAATACTATCTTTAAAAAGTTAGCCACCACCAAGACATACAGCATAAAGACTGGGGTTTGATGTAACAGGAGGTAAGCCAAGCATTAACATAGCAGCAAGGGTGCTGCACTGGGGATGAGGAGAAAAAATGGGAACAGCCAGGATCTTCCCAAGAACCAGAACTGCAGTAGAGACTTGCCACCCCCTCCCTCCATTGTGGAGAAACTAGGACAAGGTGGTGAATCCCTGCCATGTGGCCTTGGGGAAAATCTGTAGAGGATGGAACTAGAGACTGTAGCTGGTAAGAGCAGCTACAGGAGCAACCAAAGCAGACATGTAGAAAACTTTTTAGAGTTTTGACTGGCCTTGAAGAGTTTGCAGGTACAGTGCACTCTCCTTTGGTTGAGGATATATACAGTACCTACAATCAATCAATTGGGGCTGCAGTTTAGGAGCACGCTTGGATTCTTCACCAACACTAAGATCTCACATAGCCACTTCTGCAAGTAATGCTTTCTATCATCTCTGGTTGGCTAAGAGACTACATCCCATCATGGTGATTTGGCCTGTTATTCACACCTTTTGTCACTTTTTGGTGGGAGTACAGCAATGCAGTGTAGCTGGGCATAAAGCCTTCAGCACTTAATAAACTCCAACTAGTACAGATGGTGAAGCACAACTCAGCAACAAAGGCTACAGCAAGCACATCATACCTATTCTACACTCTCTCTACTGGCTTCCCATAGAATTTTCAATCAAGTTCAAGGTCTTAATCCTGATCTTTAGGAGCTCCATGTCCTGGGCCCAGGATATCTGAAAGATCTAAAGATGATGTTCAGAGGTGAAGACAGTGTTTGACCACTACACTTTTCTGGCACAATGGAAGTCTCCACACAATGGGTAAAGCTTGTCTGTGCAGGAGACAGAACTTTCTCAGAGGCTGGGCCGAGCCTGTGGAATGAACTCCTTCAGGAACCAAGCGCCTTCTGCTTCAAGTGCAAGACATTTCTTTGACCGTGTCTTCTCCAACAAAGAAACAAACAAACAAACCGAAAACCCTACCAAAACAAGACACACTGTTGTACATGCTTCTCTCTCTGGGGAAGAGGATTAGAGAACCACCACCACATGGTGGATGTATTGTCTCATTATTTAAGGCCGAAGTTACTGGAAGGTGCTTAGATACTATCGTGTTGAGAACAGTACAAGAACAGATAAAAAAAAAAAATAGACTGTCTGCCCTGTGCTGATCAGTTGTTTGCTCCAGCCCTCTCCCTCCATCAGTCTCTTCACCTCAGCTTCATTCCACTTCTGTCCGATCCCACTTATTCCCCTCTCCTTCCATGTCCCTTCATTCACTTTCTTTCCATTTAATTTACCTCCTCCTAATGGAGAGCACACCCAAAAAATATTGTGGAACTAACACTACATCTGCTGCCATTATAGTACACTCCTCTTATGTGTTCAATCCAGGAGCATCAGATGCTTCCTAAAAATGGGGTGGGGCATCTACGCCCAAACCAAGCCCCCCCCCCCCGAGGCCATGCCCTGCCTTTCCCCCTGCCCCCGAGTCCCCGCCCCCTGCTCGCTCGCTCCTCTCCTCTCATACCCCCCCGTTGCTTACCCTTACAGCCAGTAAAAAGTTGCAGGGACATGGCCTCCTGCTCCCCCCCTTCCAGCGCCCCTGGTTCTATCCCTTTCGCTAATCCTGGGTCTGTCTTGTCTATTTAGATATGCACACTCTGGGGCAAGAGCTGTCTTCTACTGTCTGTACAATGCCTGACACAGAATGGTTGATCCTTAGGCACTGCCATATTAAACAGGTGCTTAATAGAATATTTGTATCCAGGTTGACACTCAACACTCTTGAGGGATATTTTAGGATTAAGTTGGTGCCTCTGGTCTTGTTATTGTATAGATTTGCTTGAATAGAAGTGACAGCGCATACCTGAATTCGTTTTTAACTAAAAGTTTACAAAAAGCTTCCTGCCCAAGGCTATGAATTGAAGTATTAGGGATTATTTCTGCAATTCTCTTGAGGAGATGGGAGTGCAAATTATAGTATGAAGATTGTGGTTTCCTTTCAGTTTAGAATTCTCAGCCTTGAACAACTGACAGTATTTTGGAACTGATTTGGTGGCAGTATGTAAATAAGTTGTCAAATAACCAGCCAAAGCCAGACATACAGTACACCAATCTGTCTGAAGAAAACTGCAGAGCAAGCACTGCGGTTTTGCAAAGGCCAAATAGATTCAAGGAGAGGTTAATGGCAGCAGGAGGTTATGATGTCATGTTAGTCATATGGGAATCTGAAGGAGAAGATAATGAAAATACAAAAAGCAGCAATTGTATTGAACAGACTAGATATGTGATATCTTTTGGCTAGTACTTGAATTAGAGTAACTGAAAAGAGAAGATAATCATGGTAAAGAGTGAGTGAGGGGAACACGAAGAGAGGAAAAATTTGTCTACTATTGTATCAGTCAAGTATTTTCCGTGGGAGAGCTGCAAACACTAGAGATGCGTGCCATTTAATATGCCCACACAACAGCAGGTTTAACCCTAAAGATGTAGACAACACTCTTTAAAGGCACAGATACAGGTGTAAATAGGAGTTAATACAACACTTGATAGTCCTCTTTATGTTAATTAATTCTCATTTTAACTAGAGTAGCTATTCAGATCACCCTAAACATTATTTACTACTGGAGACTGAGGACTCATGTTCCCAGTTTCTTCCAACCAGAGCACTAAATTGACTTACTTATTTTAGACCTGTCTCTGCAC